TGTTAAAAACAGAATGTGAAAAATATAAATACATGAAAGTAAATGTTTCTAATAAGAGTTCAGGAGTGAAAAGAAACAATGTTATACTGATTTTGTTGATTGGCAGTGCACAGCACAACAGTGGATGTTGGAGAGAAAGCCAGATCAGAGAAAGCCTGAATTTGCTGCCAGACAGAGAGAGATTAAGACAGACAGACAGTGAGAGAATAAAGAGAGGGTAGAAAGTGAAGAGTGTTGAGCTATATGACAGACAATTAAAAGAAACAAAAGGTAAAGGAAAAGATGAAGTGGGGGACTGAGATATTCAGTCTTCCATTCCCATTTGTTTTGTCCTCTTGTTCCAATCATTCCCCTCACTTTCTTTGTGTCTTTCCCTTTCTCCCTGACTTCCACCCTCCCGGAACACACTATAAAAACAGCATGATTATGCTGCAGACTTGAGCTGCAGAACAAATCACATTTATCCAAGCAGAGTGTGGAGATAGAACCAGCAAAGAGGCAAGAAAAAATTCCCACTGAGTCACCAAAAGAGAAAAAAATGAGAGAGAGATTGCAAGGGGAATGAAAGCATATTGCAGCTTGGAAGGACACCTTTGGGGGGGCTGTATGAAGAAAAAAAGGAGGGACAGAAGTGAAGAGATGGCAGCTAACAGGGGAGAATGAAAGAAAGAGTTGCAACAGTTTTCCTGGGATTTTTAGGACAGCACTGATGAGGGAGATTGGCTAGGATTCAACGCTTTCACCGCTGTGGCCCGGGTTCGATTCCCAGTCGGGGAACCTCTGGCCACAGGGGTTGCACACCAGTGATTTCTGTGCCGGTCCCAAGCCTGGATAAATAGAGAGGGTTGCATCAGAAAGGGCATCCGGTGTACAAATCATGCCAAATTTCACCATGCGAATCGTCAGTGTGGCAACAGATGATTCACTGTGGCGACAATGCAATAAAAGATAAGGGTGAAGAGAAGAAGAGAAATGAAAGAAGAAAGGAGAAGAGACTGGTGAAGGAAGGAGGAATCAAAGATTAGATTAGGCAGAAGGTGGGGAAGAGAAGATGGAGAGACCATGGGTTTAAAAGAGAGAAGAAGGGAAATGTCAAGAACAAGATTAGTCAGGACTAAGTGCAAGTGGAGTAGACAAGAAAATGAGAAGAACAGCTGAACAGATGAGATGGAAGAAAAGGAGGACAGGAGAGAACGACGCACAAAGGTAATGAGAGAGAAGAAAGAGATTTGTAAAGGATTATGTATTATTTATAGATAGTGCTTTTTTTGCACTGGATTTGATTGGTAGAGTTCTGGCTCCCTGGGAGTGATGGAGTGATAATTTTAGAGTGGGAGGAGAAAGGGAGAGAGGGAATGGGGGAGAGTTGTGGGTCTGCAGAGGGAAGTATGTAGGAGAAGAACCTCAAAGTCAGCTATTTCATAGAGTGAGTACACCACCACTCTGTTATTAACCTGGAGCAAGTGTTTGTACACACACACACACACACACACACACACACACACACACACACACACACATATAGATGCTCTCACACGTAAACATTGCAAACTTCATTTGCATACATACCATAGAAACCGGCTCGCCTCGCAGACTCAGGGGATAACAAGAAGAATGTACAACCAGAGGAGAAGAGATGGAGAAGTTGCCAGTGGCTGACCCCATAAGAGTGAAGACTATGAGATGCTGTAACTGTTTTAATTAAAGCAGTAATAACATAAAGGGTTGTGTATCGTGGTCTCCTGCATTGATTCCCTTGTAAATCTGTGGCCAGCATGCAAAGAAAACATGAGCTCTTGGCCCACTTCCCAATGAAAGATAATGAGAGATAATGAATAGGGAGACAGTGACCGCACTGCTTCAAAGATACATGGGGCTTGTTTGGGGCAAATGGAAACAGTTGATCTTTTATGCGGCTTGTCTTTTTGTTCTGTGTTTTGCTCTCTTCACTCTCAAAGACATGGGGAGAGAGGTATAAGGGGAGAGTGAAACTGAGGGAGAGAGACACAGCAAGGCGGTAATTCAGCCCACTAACCCTGCACTACTGAGACACTTTCTAGAATTTACCATGACCAAGGGTGAGCCAGGAGTCCACCTGGCTGCTTCCCAAATCCCCCTCTTTTAACTCTCCACATCTCCCTTCATCCCCTCCTTCTGTCCCTCTATCCCCTGCCTCCCTTGGCTTATAATTCAACCCCATTGCGGGACCATTAGCACGGGCCCCTGAACAGCCTTGTCTTATGAATTTGCACGCGTATTATTTATTTATTTGTTTATGTATTTTGAAATGATGGCCCTTCTTGTACCTCTATTGCCATAATAAATAAAGGGTCCTTTTTTCTGGGGGTATGACAGCGGGGGTAGAGGCATTTGAAATGATGAGAAATCCCAGTTCACTCCTATGAAATACTGCCCCCGCTTGGTTGGAGAGAGAAGTGATTGTTTTTGCTCCCCCTCCTGTTTTATTTGTCCTTTGATCATAGCCGTCAGTGCACTACCATGGTATCGATTGCACTCTCTCTCCTAATATGATTCAACGCTTGTGGAGTATTTTATTATGGGCACAAATTTTAATGGGGGCCAGATTAATACCTCTGTCACAGAGGTTGATTCCTTCCCCCTCCTTCGCATTCAATTTCTGTTCTTTACTGTGCTGGTGATCAGAAGCACAGGCTCATGGCCTTGATGTGAATGGCAGCCTATAAAACCTACAGTCAAACTAAAGTGCTGTACCCAGCTGTGTTATGAGTGGGAATAGAAGAATATGCGTCATCTCTCATATATTTCGTCCAGCCCCTGCCAGCTGCATTATTATAACCCAACCATCACTTCCTAACTCCCTGCTATCATTTCCTGGTTAGAGCCCTCAGTCCCCCCCGCCATCTCCCCATCCCCGTGTTCACTTTGCCCAGATTGATCATCCACCAGCAGCCAGCAGGTGTTTCTGGGTGGCACTCTCAGCAGGCGACAGCGGAAGCCAGTCTTCCTGCTCGCAACCATGGGTTTATTTTTATTTTCCTTTGTCGATGTTCTTTGCACTTTACCGCTATGCCATTGCTCTTAAATTCTTTGAAGGGTTGACAGCTGTCAGGAGAAGTGTGTGTACAAATGGACAGCTAATTAGTGTTTCTGGTCTCCTTCCAGAAGCAAAATCTTGACCAACGTCTTTTTCGGGGATTGCTTTCCCACATCAAGACCTCATCCTCCGGTTGCTCTTAAGGGTCACTAATCACACGCAGATGCTATACGGACTTTGTCAGGATGCACAGCAGCACTACTACAATTAACACTGCTTAAAACAATGGTGGCCTAGCCCGGTTGCCACAGTGATGAGTAATAACAGCCATTAGAAAAATAAATGGGATGGCGGTGGCAGACCCTGATGGCCCCCGATATGAATCACAATATTGATGCAGAGAATGGGAGCAATAATGACTACAATTAGTGGTAATTGTCGAGATTTTTTTTTCTCTGCTCCATAGAGTATTAGAGTCCCCTTTGTCTTTATCCCCTCTTGGTGTCATTCTGTCCTCAGTTCAATAGCCACTGTTTCTCTCAGTTTCCCCTGATGTGATGAATATGTAGGCTTTGAGAATTTCATTAAAGGAGATTAAAATCAAGAGGAGAATTAAATTTGGATGAAGTTGGCAGGTTCAGATGATGTCAAAGTTCTTTAATTGCAATATGCCAACCCCTGCATATGCTCACCCAATGCATATGCCCACCTGCTACACATGTCTGTTGTGTGCACACACACGGTCTCACACAGAAACGTAGGACATGCTCGGCTGCAGATATAGACATTTATTTTGGGCCAAAACAGTCAAGTCAGCAACTCCTGCTATGGCAGCCACCATCTGTTTGTCTCACAACATTTCCTGCCTTCTGAAGGTGCTTTACAGAGCTCAGAGACATTGCCAGACCCGTCAGTGAAATATATACAGTCCCGCTATCTTTATCGGCACTCCTTATTGTCTGCTTCATCATCATGCTTCAATATTGATGTTGTTCTTTCTCTAAATCCTCCCCATGGCCAACACATTGCCAGGAAGAGAGAGAATGCAAATAGGGATGCAAATTGGTAAATACTAGTTTGGGGAGCCCAACAAGCTGGTGCTCTCTTCAAGGCAATCACATTCCACTCCTGGCTAGAGCCATATGACTAATTGCTCTGCAAATCATTTGAATTCAAGCAGCAGAGCTCAATGTCCATTGTGCTCAGCAGGAGGTGTGACAAGCCATGCCAACATCCTGACCCACCAGCAACAATGGTGCTCTAATCAGAGCATAATCAACCTCCTCATTAATGACTCTTGAACTGTCAGCACTGCCAAAGAGGCTCCCTGCTGTTTCTCTGCCCCCTTGTAAAAAAAAAACAAAAAAAACATTGGATTTAGTGGCCAAACAAGTTCTGTGTGTGTCACATTGCATGCACACAAATTTCTGTGCATCCTCATTTGTAAGTGTATACTTGTTGGAGTATATGTACATGTGATTGTTTATGAAGGTGTCTAGGTCGGGTGCATAATCCCCCAGAACTTTCCAATACCTGTAAAAAAAAAAATCATTACACTGGGTTAATGAAGCATAGTCATTTGCTTTACCTCACACCTACATGAGAAGTGGCATTGAGAATGTGTGATGTGCTTTCCAGAGCGCATGGTCTCACTGCTCTGCACTCTGCCACCTTTTTGACAGACTCATACGGTGACACTGCAGTTGAAACTGTTATTATACACCAAGGTGGCGGCAGGGGCACAGTCCAAACTGTTTTCTGTTTGTGTGCCGTTGTGTAAGTGGGTTGGTCCATATGCAGCTATGTCAGTGTTTACAGTATGTGTTCATGTGTGTGTGTGTGTGTGTGCGCACTGGCGTGTATCTAAATTCAAGACTGGCAGCCACTTAGAGTTTTAATAGGCATTATGTATTCCAATGTGTGTGCTGATGCATTCTGTTAGACTAGCCAGAGGCAACAGGGCTGTTTGTATGTATGTGTTTGTGCATGTAAAACTGAATGGCAATAATTATAATCATCCTTTTTATATAGTCATAAGAACACATTGTTCATAAGGACCCTCTTGCTTATAGAGTCCTTCAGTGTCTATTCTCTTTTTTTTTCCCTCTCACGCTGTCTCCTACTCTCTTTACATATAATGAATAGTGAGTAAATGAAGGACGTTTAAGCACCTTGTTGTGAGAGATTCTATTTCAAGTGAGGTGCAAATTGAACACCTCTTTTTCTCCACATTTGTTTCTTGTATTCTCCTCTTCTCTTTTTCTTCCTCTCCATTGTCCACCCTCTATATCACTCCATTAACGTCCATCTTTCTCTCCCTCAGCCCGTTGTCAGGCGGTGCAGGCAGAGAATGTGACTGTCTTGGAGGGAGGTACAGCCCAGATCTCCTGCAGACTGCAGAACTACGATGGATCAATCGTGGTTATCCAAAATCCTCGCCGGCAGACCCTCTTCTTCAACGGCACGCGAGGTGTGTATCTGTGCACCTATTTGTCTCTTCAGACAAACTTCATTTATCTGTGTCTAACCATTTGCCCTCGGTGACATTTGAAGCCAGCCTTTTAAACGCATTAGCAATGACTCACCAACGCTCACGCATACTTCTCTTATTGCAAAATGTCCTCACTTTGCCTTTGAAGCGATTCCACATTAAAAAGTCAGATAACCACAGACTTAATTTATAAGATGGTTTTATAAGTTTAACAGTGCAACTGCTTTAACTGTTTTAAAAGCATAGTTCGAAGCTCTTTGCATAATCCACTGTTAACCCCAGTGATGAGATCAGAGCTTATTACAGTCCCTCATTAGAGCATGACCTTGACAATCACATGATTTTTTAAAGGTGGCTTTATGGCAAATTATCTCTGTAACCAATGTTATAATGAAGGCAGATTTCATCTAGGGCCTCGGGATAAGGTAAACACTTCATGTTTTTTCTTATCTAATTAAGGGCAAAAGTTGCCACCTTAGTAAGATTTGCTGTTAGTACTACTAGGAAAACGGAGCAACAATATCACCTATATTAAGAACTGCCTTTGCAGTCTGTGGGTGCCAGCTTAAATGAAGCAAAATGTTGCATTGTGTTTTGTAGTGTAGCAATAGTCATTTATGCCCCATAATATATGTAATGTATGCAGTAAATGTCTTAAGGTATTACCTTGGGCTTAAGGCTGTGGTGTAAAGCTGTGGTTTGTAACTGTTTAGAATTAAGGGCAAGGGAGGGAATTTGAATATATTTAAATACATATGGTGGTTCAGCTTTAAGAGACAGAACTATGTGAAACCAGTAGCATATGCCAGTTATCGACTGGGGCATTTGAACTGAAAGTTCCTCACGTCAAATTAAAAAAAGCAAGCAAAAATATAGATGTGAAAAATAAAGATAGTGAAAAGTTTAATTTATAACGAGCAAATAGTTGGATTCAGTGGGTTTGACTTGAGTGCTGCTTTTCTGCACAGCAGCTTTTCCCAAATCATATGATGAACACATTCTGCAGAGCTCATAAACATAGCCACAGAAATAATCTCTAACAGGTTGGCAGAACAGCCCAAATCACTTTGAGAGAGCACCTTCAAGGTGACAACTTTCATCCAGAAAACTAAGCTTTGTGAAAACTCCTCAGTGGTGTAGCTACATCCCAAGTTATGATTCTCTCAGGTGACTGAACAGTCAGCCCAGTCAGTCTCTGCTGCACCTCACTACTCCAAAATTTGTTTTGATTTTTTATAATTTGGAAAAGGATTGTTCTGCAGTTGTAATTGTGTGACAGGTGTTAATTTTCCCATCTTGATGCAAATGCAAGCATATTTGATTTGCTGAACTAACATCGGTCAAGCTGTTCCAAAGCAGCTTACATATGGGACACTTTCACATTATACTATTTTAGTCTTGTACCATTACTTGGGTGACATTTTTCAATTTTCATTCAAACATTCTTGCGTTCCATTTAATTTAACTGACTTGAACTGAACTGAACATGAGTCAGCCACATTTTCATTTCAAAATATTGTGACATTTGTAACTTTCTGATGGATTTGAGATGATTAGAACAAGTGCCAGTCTCACATGCCTTAAACTGGCTGCCTAGTCATCATCTGTACATTAAAATGCATATAAAGTCAAGTGCTAGTAGTCTATTGTAGTGCATATCCTCAGCCATAATATCATAGTTAAAGAAAAGACTTGTGGAAATGTCAAGAAAATGAATGGCTGTCAGATCCAGAGGTGATTTTTTTGTAGCTGACCTTGCAGTTGCACCTTGACATGAATGAGGAGCAATTAAAAAGGAAATGTGCAGCAATACTTTCACATCATTAGCATTCTTGAAGGTAAAAAGAACTGCTAGAGAAAACTTGAACCTGAAATTTTTATGGCTGAAAATAATTGCAAAAGTTTTGTAACTCATGTTTATTGCATAGGCATATTTCATGTACATTATATTTACAAACATTAGGCATTATTTTCTGTATGTGAAAGTTTGAACATGAACACATTTCTAATGGTTACATGTTCTAGCACTTGTAATTATAATGATTAGAAAATCAGCAGCCCCATCTGCAACAGTCTGTGTCAAAGTAGAACTGAAGATTTTCTGAATATGTCAAGATCAGACTAAAATACTGAAGACATAAAAGCTGCTTTCACTTTTCACTGCTACAACTTCCAAATACTTTTGTTCTACACGCCGTTTCCTCACTTGTTAGTCACCTCGATCACGGAGCAGCCTTAATTGGGTAGTGGAGGTCGCTGCTTCGGGAAACCTTGTGTTCATCTCTCCCTCCAATTCTATAAGATCAGCACTACTGGTAAGTTTCATTAAGTATTTAAACAGAGCTGCCCCACCTGCTCTCCCAGGAGATGTGGACTTGCACCCTTTGGAAAGCACGATGAAGCCTAATCAGAGTGAGGAGGAAGAAGAGGTGTGACAGTTAGAAGGATAAAGAAAAGAGTGGGGTAGAATAAGACAAAGGGCAGAGTGTTAAGAAAGACACACATCAATAGTGCGACTAAGAAGAGGGAGCACCAGGCGATGGGGAAAGAGGCAGCACTGGGAAATGATCCAAAGGTTAGGCAAGGTATAAAGTATAGATGGCTTCCTGTAACTAATTTGGCACCCGTAAGCCTAGAAAAGCCTCATTGGGGACATTTTCTGGGAGTATAAATTACATTTCACTCTGGCTCTGTACCTCCACATTTGCTCCATCACTCACTGTAGGGCCCTTCCATTTCTGCCTATTGCCCATCTGCCACCCAGATATCAGGCTAACAAACTAAGGCCTTTGTGCCTAGCGATTCCGCGCTAACTGCCCAAATAGAGTCACTGATGTAAGTGCCATAAATTAGACTGCCTGGTTTTCAAGCGGGCAACCAGTCAGGGGTGTGTTTTATGAGATGGTGGGGACTGATAGCTATAATAGAGCAGTGGAACTAACCAAATGGAGCCTTTCTCCTCAGTGGTCCATATCTCTCTTTCTCTCCTCTGTTGCCAGCTCTCCTTAGCATGCAAATGAGCTAGAACAATAAAGGTGAACTTGGACCTGAACAGAAGTCTGACATTTAGTTGCCATTTAGTGCAAAGAGAAGGGAAAAGATTTACCTATCTGTGGGGAATAGCGCTCTAACAATGCTCTTGCTGCCATCCGGTGGAGGGGATATTTTGGGAGCGGGGTGGAGAGATTAGTGTGTGTACTTCCAGGGAGAGTGGACTAACTCCATCGCTCTGGGCTACTCTCCCAGTCTTCTGTGGATTCCTGTCTTTATCTATATTATTTTTTCCCGCCTGTCGCATTATGTAGCTATATTAGTCTATTTCTCTCATTCTTCTTTACTCCTCCATTCTCACAGGCACTTACACATGCACATGCACAGACAAAAGTCAATATCTAAACTGTAGTGCCTGTGCTGTGATGAATTATGCTGTGAGATGGCTGGGTGCATCAAGGAAGTGTCTGCTGTTCCCTCAGAGAGCCAAAGCCAACACAAAAGAATGAAGAGAGGGATAGAATACAATAGAGATGGAGAGCAAGGGAGAGGTTTCACAGTCTAGTCGATACAAAGTGAGTCTCTAAGGTATTTATGAGAGTCCATGGACATCGAACCACTGTCACCAACAGACAGTTATTAGCATTATTTGTTATTATCAGCATTTTTCTTGTCATTGATTATATTCTTTCTTCAGTAACAAAAGGAAAATTGTTACTTGCTCACCTCGTCTCATCTTGCCTGCCACTGTCCCTTCTTTTTCTTCTCCTTTAGGTGGTTTGCAATTGTAGCTCATTTTGTTTTCAGCCTTTGGTTGTTTCCCATAGTCTGAATTGCCGTGTTTACACTGTGTACAACTATAGTATTTAGCCTGCCTCCCAATGACTCAAGGGGAAGCAGCACTCAGCTTAGCAGCTTAAATAAATTATTTTTGGCTCTGTAATAAGCTTTATTTGCTTAGCGCTTTTCAAAAGAGTTAGCAAGTGCTTCACAGCAAGTAAAACAATAATTGATTAAAACCTAATAAAATGAACAATAAAAATGCCAGACACTAATTAGAAATGGGCTTACAGAGGAATAAAGCAGATGCAAAGAGAATACAGTCAAATGCAGGATAGTCCA